GTCCAAGGGCTGTCAAATGCACCAGCAATATTTAATCGACTTGTGACACAATGGTTTAGGCCCCATCGGGCGTATGCACATACATACTTCGACGGCATCTTCGTTCACAGTCATACGGGGCACGAAAGGAGAGATTGGGAATACCACATCGTCCATTTAAGAGCTGTGCTCGAGTGCATGCGCACAAATAAGCTGTATGCTAAGGCCGATAAGTGCATCTTCGGCGCGGAAGAAGTTCTCTTTTAGGGTGCTTTATTGGGAGGCGTGGCCTTCGAGCGAATCTCGCTAAGGTCAAGGACATTGTAAAATGGACGGTTCCAGGGAGCCAAAAAGGACTTGCGCAAGTGGCTTGGCCTCGCCAACTACTTGCACAAGTATAGCATACAAGTATAGCGCAAATTATGCGGAAGTGGCACGGCCATTGTCTAATCTCCATAGGAAGGACACATATACAGAATGATGTTGGGACACCGAGCATCGGAAGGCTATCGACAGGGTAAAAAGCCTCCTTCATGCATCAATATTGGCGTTGTTGGACCCCGATCGTCCTTTAAGTGTCGTCTGTGACGCTTCGGACTTTGCCATCTGGCGTGCACTGCTACAAGCAGACACCGAGGGGCGAAATCGTGTGATTGCGTTCGAATCCCGTCAGTTTAAGGCTGTGGAGAAAAACTACCCAGTCCACGATAAGGAAGTACTTGCGATGAAGTATGCACTTGTCAAGTCCAGATGCACCTGCTTTGCTCAACGCCGTTTCTAATCTACACAGATCATGCGTCATTTCGCACTGCGACTCAGTCACCTTTACGCAGAAGATTGCCAGAAGGCTCTCATTCTTTGCAGAATATAACTATGAGTGAAGTACAAGCCAGACTATGAGCTTGCTCATGTCACCACGGTGACGTCGTCAGTGACGGATTTGATCCGCGTCGCATACGCGGGTAATAGCATGTGTCTAGCGCTGCTACAGGCTCTCGGGCAAGTCATTTGGAAACTCAGACGAAAAATAATCGGCGCGTTTGCGCGCACGGTTACACCGATATTCGTTGAGTAATGGGTTGCTGTAGTATAGCACCAATTCAACGGATATACCACGACTTGTGGTTCTTCACGATAAGGATATAAAAACCATATCCTCTATGAGGCCCACAACACCTCACTCAGTGGTCATCTCGGTCGTGAGTAGACGTACAGCTCGGTGAGTTGCCACTATTGGTGGTCAAAGCTGTACAAGCGGACGAGCTCATATGTGCGCACATGTGAGATGTGTCAGAGGGTGAAACCCTCTTCAAATGCGGCAGCGCCGCTGCCCAGCTTACAGGTACACTCCGGTTGTTGGTAGTCCATGAGTATGGACTTTGTGTGTGGCCTGCCCAAGGACTCGGCGGGCTACACAGGTGTAGTGGTCTTTGTAGACCGTTCGAGCAAGATGGCTCATGTTGCGGCAGTGCCGGCCGGACACCATTGACGGTGTGGGTACAGCGACGCTGTTTGTCGATCGTGTCTTTCGACAACATGGACTCCTAAAATCAATTGCCTTTGATAGAGACCGGAAGTTTTGGTCTACAGTCTTCAGGGTGCTGGTCACTGAATTGACTATGCCAAAAGCGGACCATTCGCAGACCGATGGTAAGACTGAGCACGTGAATCGCGTCGTTGGAGACGCTCTTCGCAGCATATGCGCTGAGACACCGAAGTGCTGGAGCGCTATGTTACCACTCGTAGAATTTGCTATGAACAATGCAGTGCATTCATCTACCGGCTATACGCCGTTCTACGTGAGCGCGCTTATTAATCCTTCCATCCCGCTGACGCCGCCATCCCATGGCTTAGGGCTTGGTGGGGTGGGAATAGCCAAATGGCTGTCTAATGTCAGCCCCCTCACGGTGTGTAAAGAAGTCGGAGACTTCTTGTCTACCAGACTGAGTGTCTTACGACACGTTTGCGATACGATGGCTAAAAGCCAAGACGTGCAGAAGGAATATGTAGATGGAAAAGGAAGAAGAAATGTTGAAAACATTACCTGTTCTATTTGATACCAAAAACTTTCCTACACATGCAGTTTTTGCTGTTTTTAAGACGAAGCTCCGTCCACGGTCTTTTATCCTTTTAAGGTCAGGTCAAGCGAGACCTAGCGTATACGCTGAAACTTCCGAGAAGGATGCGCACCCAACCGGTGTTTTATGTGGGCTTGCTTACGCCGAACCGGAATCCAGCGTAAGTGAACGCGGAAGCTTTGGCGCCGGGGCACTGCTTAAAGGTGCTCGTCCACTTAGAAATTGAACCAGCAAGTACGGAGTGAAACAAATTCCGTCTATAACGGCCCAAGGCGCGCCACTGTCACACGAAGTGATGTTCTCGCCAGCTCGACGGCTAGGAGCCGTTCCGACAGAGTACGATAATCCGCGTTGAGGATTATCGTGCAGTCGGGGCACATAGTGCTCCAGACTCTTGAGGTCTTCCGCACAGCGGTAGGCGACCTCGGAAAGATGTTCGACAGTGAGTCGATGACGACGGAATTTTTTCTCAAACGCTCGAAGGACATCGGGAGTCATCGATCAAGTCGTCATCGTCCGCCGCCGACCGTTCTCGATGAGAATGGTGGCGTCCACAACCACGTGGAAAGTCTTGTGGGTCGACGACGTTGACGGGGTTCAACACAATATCTTATGAAGTGGCGGGGATACCCAAACTCCGAAAAGTCGTGGGAGTTTGAGGTGCCGCTTCGGCCTAACGCTTCCATACATGCTATAGCATTTCTGATCTACTCAGACGCGTCAATTTGAGGCGGCAGCAACTGTAGACGCTTGAAGACGTGCAACACGTTGACGGCAGCTGAAATATTCAGTCTCATTCATTTTAGCGCTTCAAGACATGCTATAGCGTTTCTGATTACGCATCCATTTGACGCGGCGGCAACCATAACCACATTTAGACATTTGTGACGTTGTCAGCAGATGCAATATAAAGTTGCATTCATTTTAGCGCTTCGATACCTGATACACGTATTTGATCAATCCAGACGCATCAATCTTACACGGCAGCAACTGTAAACGCACTGAGTCGTTCGTCATGCTGTCAGCAGCTTCGATATCAAGTCACATACGTTTGGGCGCTTTTAGACGTTCTTCAGCGTTTCTGATAAGCTTTGACGCATCAATTGGACGCGTCAGGAGCTGTTAACGCACATAGCCATTCGTCACTTTGTCAGCAGCTACGATATCAAGTCACATTCGAGAAACGCTTCCATATGTTTTACAGTGTTTTTGATCAACTGTGACGCATTAATTTTATCTTGCATAACTGTAATCGCATTGAGACATTTGTCATACTGTCAGCAGCTGCGATATCAAGTCACATTTTTTTAAGCGCGTTACAGCGTTCATGATCCGTTTTGACGCAATTTAACGCGGTGGCAGCCATCAATGCACGAAACATTCGCCACGTTGTCAGCAGCTTTGATATCAAGTCCCATTCGTTTTGGCGCTTGGTAAATTCAGACGCATCAGTCTTACACGCAGCAACTGTAAACGCACTGAGTCGTTTGTCATGCTGTCAGCAGCTTCGATATCAAGTCACATACGTTTGAGCGCTTTTAGACGTTCTACAGCGTTTATGATCCGTTTTGACACAATTGAGCGCGGTGGCAGCCATAAATGCACAAACACATTTGCCACGTTGTCAGAGGCTCCGGAATCAAGTCATATTTGTTTTAGCGCCTCCATACATGCTACAGTGTTTTTGTCCAGACGCACCAATTTTGCACAGCAGCAACTGTAAACGCACTGAGACATTCGTCATGCTGGCAGCAGCTACGATATCAAGTCACATTCGAGAAGCGCTTCTATACGTGCTACAGCGTTCTTGATCAATTCAGACGCATCAATTCTGCGCGGCAGCAACTGTAAACGCACAGAGAGGTTCGTCGTGCTGTCACCAGCTTCAATATCAAGTCACATTCGAGAAGCGCTTTCATACGTGCTGCAGTGTTTTTGATCAATTCAGATGCATCAATCTTACACGGCAGCAATTGAAAACGCACCGAGACGTTCGCCATGCTGTCAGCTGCTTTGCTATCAAGTTACATACGTTTTGACGCTTTTAGACGTTCTTCAGCGTTTCTGATAAGCTTTGACGCATCAATTGGACGCGTCGGAAGCTGTAAACATACATAGACATTCGTCAAGTTGTCAGCAGCTGCGATCTCAAGTCATATTCCTATTAGCGCTTGCATATGTGCTACAGCGTTTCGATCCATTCAGACGCATCGATTTTGCACGGCAGCAAATGCAAAAGCACAGAGAGGTTCGTCATGCTGTCATCAGCTTCGACATCAAGTTACATACGTTTTATCGCTTCCAGACGTTCTTGGTCAAACGAATGTGAGTTGATGTCGCAGCTGCTGACAACGTGACGCATGTCTATGTGCGTTTATGGCTGCCGCAGCATCAAATTGTTGTGTCAAAGCTGATCAGAAACGCTGTAGAATGTCTGGAAGCAAAAAAACGGATGTGACGTGATATGGTAGCTGCTGACAACGTGACAATCGCTCTAGGCAAAACATGGAAGAACAAAACGCAAATATATCAAAAAATGATACTATGCTATGATTAGTAACACAGTACGGTGTGAAATTTCTGACGCAGACAAACCAAACCTTTGAATGTCATGGCTGTATATGTAAAAAATATAATTAGCAAACGCAAATATTTGGTGAATCTTGGTAGAACAGGACAGGTGGATGCATTCCTACTTAACGTAATTAAATCACGAGGATGTTTGACGTTCATTTTCATCGATACCAGCCTTAAAATGGTATCAAATGAGGTGATCCTTATTTTCTTATGCTATTAAGGTTAGGAGTATGATCACGACGAGGACTTGCATTAACTTCGTGATATTTCATAGGAAGCTTTTCAAGCATATGGTGAAGGCTCAGACGAGCTATGAGGAAGTTAAAAGGCTGCAAGGGGGTCAAAGTCAAATCAACATGATCAACAATGGGCGATGATATCAGCAATGAGAGCGACAAAGACAGTCTATTTTGCGAAGCCAAACAAATTCACGTTTTAAAAGGAAAAATGTGTTGCCGAAGATTGCTGAAACAATAGAGGGAAAAGTGTTGCCGTAGATTGCTTCAGAGTTTGCTCAAAGGATGATGAATAGCACGATCAATACCGTTAGTGACAGTGGGAATAATGGAAGAGTGCTGATGCAGCTCCGCTGGATGGAGTTGCGCGTCGCGGGGGAACCTAAAACTTCAAAGCAATCCGAGGCTTAGCTATATCATCAGCAATCGGTTATCGCCAGCTCGGTTCAAGTGCATTTGATTTTCTGATTTCAATGACAAGACTTCGGTTATTTTCCAGCATAATTAATGCAATTGTGGACCAAAGTAACGATTCGGTGATTTGCTACAGTCGACAATATGAACTCTTGCATTCAAGCTACATAATAATCAAGCAGAGTATGACAAGCGTAGCAATGTTGATAAAAAGATTTTCAAGAAACTTCTTGCGATAGCAAGTTTCCACTTGGCAAGTCCAAGTTCATGTCCCGGCGTAAAACATCATGTCTCTTGCCTGGTTTTGTTTATTCTCCAAATACACGACTTTTAAGAAGATGAATTTCGACTGAATCTATGATCACCGGTCTATGCTAAATGAATGTGTACTGGTATGTATCACTCGTCTTTAGTACAATTTTTGTGGTCGGCTGAAGGATCTGTAAGAATCTGCAAGAGCTGAACATGATGAGCTGAAAGGTGAACTCGATCTCGTCACTGACTATCCTGCAATCACGAAACAATCCAATCGCTAGTTGTGGATGTGGATTCTAAGTTTCAAGAATATTACCACTCGTTTGATACAAATCTGTTTCAACCCGACGTGCATTATCTTTATCGCATTTTAACCCGTCTTCACGTGTCAGATATGGACAAATCGGCTTTCTCTCAGAGCTAGGATCTGATCAGCGTACATGGTTGTTGATCCCCCCGCGACTTGGCTCGAGTTATTTATCTGGTCTGCAACCTATGGTCATATCCCTAACAGAGATATGTTCGATAGAAAATTGGCACCATAATGAGTATATTAATCGTTCTGTAAAGTTTTGGTGGTGCTTCTCGCATTTTGTCATTGTTGGGAATCTTACAGAAACATCCTTCCACAACGATATTAAGACAATCTTTTTTCTTACCGTAATTTTCCGCCGAGAAAATTTTGAAACCTGGTGTCCCTAATTTAATTTTGATTTTCAAATAGTACCCCGTATGCACATAACTAACATCATGTCGAACGAACTGCTTTGAAAAATATAAGAACAATGTCGGCCGAAGAAGTATTCACTTGTGATCCTGTTAACTGTCGCTGGATGCACAACCAACGTAGTCTCAATGTTAGTAAGATTTATCTTCACTTAAAGTTTCTAAGCAGTGATGACTCGTACATTACAACGCGTAAGGATAAGTCGCTGAAGTAAATCAGTCGCATCGACTCTAATTTTATCGACAAAGTAAATGCTGGTATATACTACTGACATAATCATTGTGATCAGGAAGGAGCACATGAATCAGCTCTAAACCTTAGCAAATTTGTATGGCATTGGCTTAGACGCTTTGCACAACACAAAGATTTTGTGAGGGAGAGCGACGCCTTACAATTAAATCGGGAAATGGCACGACTCAGTATTGTATGTCAGATGGATGGTGCTGTCTGCATCGAAGACGTTCTTGATCGTGGCGGTGCAACTACAATGAACGCAATGTCGTTTCCTCCACTCTGCACCTTTTTCTGCTGTTGCTGCTGCTTCTTCATTTGAAGCATGCGATCGCGAAAACTCATTTTGGCGTGGCTGGCTTTTCCTGACTTGCGGATCTCCGAAGCTTTGAGCACATCCAACTGCGCACTGCCACTTAATTTTTCTTTTACAAGCGCCACAAACTCTTCATTCTGTCAATCGGGAAAGAGATCTATTAGTGCGAGCTTTACATTTTGAGAGGATCAAATCGAAGATTACCCCGATTAATCGCCGCGTATGTTGACAAGTACGTCGAGTAGCTGCTTTGCACTCAACAACTTTGCAGTTAAGAAAACCCGCTAGTTCGTCAACGAACGACCCACGTGTTTCCAGCACAAATGTTCGTAAATGGTCGCGGTCCATTTGGATCACGCACTTGGTTACGTATAATCCAGCCTTTCAATAAATTGTTAACCGAGATGAAAGCTAAATAACTGTACGATGCAACTGTTTACTTACCACGCTGACGATCTGTGCGTTCTTCTCCGTCGTACTCGTATCAAGCAGTGGTTGTAAAAATTCTTCGTTTATTCCTGCTTGAAGCGTTGTGTCTAGAACTCTTCTTGCTAATTCACTCAAAAATTGCTTTTCAGAGCAAGCCTGGCACAGCAGCACAGGCACAAACACGGACAAGTGGGAAGCCATTTCAGTCTTCAGATCGAGAATCAGGTCTTGAATACACAGTAGCGCGTTACGAGCCATGACCGAACGCAGATTCGAGGCCGCTGGCAATACCAGTATCTTAAGAATTCCACTTTTCCTACAGCAAAAGCAAGTCACACAGTCTTTTCAGCACCTTAGAAGCAGCTGCAAACTCACAGTAGACGCCGAGCCTCTTCTTGATGGTGCTTGCTGAAGCACCGGAGCAAGTCCAGTGCTTGGTACTCGTGACCCCACGCTACGTCCACATCATGATGATGAGTAGTAGATGCAGCTAGCTGCTTCAGTCGCAACAATTGAGCCACTTTCTGAGCGTCGGCAGCCGCGTCTTCGCTCCCCTGCAGTTCGTCCCTCGTTTTTACAGTCACCCGAAATATTTCGCCTTCAGGTGATCCATCTATTTTATTTCCTTGCACTGACATTTGTTGAATTTGCTCTGCTTGCTCCTCAACCGTCGATCGCCGTCGCTTGACAGGTGCCACATCGAGCATTTGGATAGTTTCTTCTATCTCGTCATATTGCTTTGACTGGTTCGGCGGCTGACCGCGCTTGCGCGTGAGTACTGGGGGGACGATGGACATGACGCAGCACCGCAGAGCCGCGCACAGAAGGTTCACAGACGTCGCCACGGCTGGCAGGCGGCACTACGATATGACTACCGTAAACTGAGTCAAAGTCCAAGCATTTAAAATGGCCTAGTTTTGTTCGTGCAAAAAACACTATCTAGACCTAGTAGTTACTCTAATGTCTGCAACAATATTTCCCACTTTACCTCAACATGTATTTGCAGGATATTAATGAGATGAAAGATCATTTTCCAGCAACCACTAAATATTGATCGCATTTTATCATGACGTTGGAATCACATATGTACGCGGCGGCACTAGGTGCATTAGTGCCATCTCTCTTATTAATCCTGCAGCTGGAAAAACAGTGGATACGGGAGTTACCACCTCAATGCTGTGGCGTGCTAGATAGCATCTTCTGGCTGCAGCCTGATGCAATTCATCCGCACTTTGAGTGTCTGGGTGCTTTTGGAAGAGCTATGAATGTGGATTTTTACATTTTTGACCTGCTGCTCTTCCCACTCATCTACTCAACGGCACTGTCTGGACTCTTGCGTCGACTTTGGCCTAATTTTCAATTAGTGTGGAGTGTACCAGTGTTGGCAGGCGGCGTTGACGTAGTGGAGAATGTATCTATTGTAAAGCTGCTAAGACTTTATCCTGTGCAATGGAAGACGTTAGAAAGCGTTGTTAGCTTTCTCACGAGGACTAAATGGGTTCTTGTAGTGTCAGCAATTGTCTTCGTTATCATCGGGGTATTTGAGTCAATGGTAAAGAGAGTTGTGACGATATATAATGAGGTGGCAAGCAGAAGCAAGAACGAGTGAAGGTTAATGAAACATTTGTGCAGTTCTATATACGACTCTTCCCAAATTCAAAATTCACTATATCCTCATTTCTTGGCTCGACACAACATCAAATCCACACAGCTACCCAAAATCGATTTCTTCCGCGTTTTGTATCCTATTCAGGAGTGATATATCTCGCTCGAGCGTCCAACAAGCCCTTGAATCGTGCGTACAGTCTTGAAATACTTTTCTTATCTTGGGAACCAAAAGTTGACGTAGGATCATCGTGTAGACTTTCCGTAGCTTTACTCACAGTGCTTGCACACCTCATACCAGATGCAACAACCATCTTTTTTGTTTGCTTTGATTTAAGCTTAACTGGATCTTGAGTCGAGTTGATTGTCGATTCGCAATAATTGTGATGTCTTTCAATTGGATCGCTCACAGCTTTATGCACATAGACGTGGACACGCTCAATATGCAAAGCAGCGTCGCATTCACACTGGACACGAATAAATCTACCTTTTGACTTTGGTGGAGCCACAAACTCGATCAATGAGCCTGTGTCGTCGATAATGCTCTTAAAACTTACACAATCTCCAATGATGTCTGCAAAATTACGCCCTATGCCACTATTCGTCAAAATACAAATGTGTATGGGGAAAGAGTGAGAGCTTCTTTGAAATCGAATTTTTACAGAGTGCACTTCGACGTAGCTGGCCAAATCAATTTCCCACCATGACTGAAATTCGTCTTTCGTGCGAATATAAGAATTCGAGTCCTGGATCAAAGCGTTCTGTGCTTTCGTGCTGTCGAAAGTTGAGGATTGATGAACAGTTTTGTTAACAGCAATGTCCTCTAGACTCTCTTCGAAGATATGACGTGGTGAGTGTTGATGCCACTGATAAAGAATGGAATCGTGAATCATTCGCGTGATTCCTTCACCTTTGTCAGTTTTGTCAATAGCTGCACTTAGTTCCATCTTACAAACTTTGCTATTACGATGTGCATTTCTCGATAAGTGCTCGGATTTCTCGTGTGTTAGAATTTCCAGACATTGAAGACAAACTTTAGCTGTGCCGTAAAGCACGGACGGATTATTTAGCTTTGGCGAGTCCTGAATGATCCCCCACTTGCGACGAAGGTCGTACACTTGTTTCATAACGGCTACCCCGGAAAGGCTAGAGCGCATATACCGTTGCTCACACAGGGCACAAGGAAATCGCCGCCTTTCACTATCATAATTACGTTCGACGGTCTTTGTGTCAGTAAATCCGCAATAAGATGAAGGCCGCATTTTGAGCTGAGGCTTTTCAGAGCTGCTGCTGGTATCGAAATGTCTGTCCCCGGTAGAGGGAGCATTTCCCCAAATTTTCACACCTTCGTTCGCTCGAGGAAGGTTAAGAATCTTTTTTAAATGCAAATGCTTGCCTCCACAAGTTGTCGTCACCCTGCCTGAATCATGATATTTTGGATTTGTCCCGCCCTGTTTTACTTGTTTACATGTTGCTGGACATTTCTGTTTTAAACGACAAAATGTCGACATGGATTTATTTCTTGGTTTGATATACTTCGATTTGACATCCTGACAAGTTTCTACTTTTTGATTTTCAGTAATAACGCCATCCCCTTCGTTAGGCATGAAAGACTCCGTATTAACAGCAATTGTTCGTAAGTTTGCCCTTTCAACATTCTCTATGATCTTTTCTACAAGATAATGAGACACGTGATTGCTCGCGCTGTCTTCATCTTCTGATTCATACAAAACGTCCTGCACTTCGCTTAGTATTGGTTCGGCTTCTTGAATGTTCAACAGATCAATGTCTAGTGTTTTGATTACCCTTATCATTCCGAACCGTTCCCGATAATCGCTTAAAAGTGTTCTCTTTACATCCAGTGCTAGCGCGAGATGTGCGCGATGCTTCTGTTGTATTTCTTGAGCAAATTGGGCACAACATAACGAAGACAATGTTGCTGGAAATTCAGCGATCCGAAGTTTGAGTAATTTCTCGCAAAAGTGTATCGCAATCTCTGCCGATCATTAATAAAAAACCGCGACAATTGGTTTGACTTCATCTAAATCTGTCGCTGACGTACATAACGCACCAAAATTTGCGCTCGATCGGTAATTCGCTAGTTCGTTCTGATAATATATTGCCCGCCACCGAATTTTATAAGCGTTAAGACACCACTGCAGCTTGTCAAATAGGCTGGTCGTTAAGAAACTCGTTAGTTCAAAAAAATATGTCAGTTATAGCTGGACAATGAACCTAGGAGCGTTTTGAAAAACTTGATACGAGGTTGCCTCACAAAGTAGTGCCAGCGATCGTCGTGCCAGCACAGATCCTATTCGAAACATTTGCCTCGGTTGAATCTTCATTAGAGTCATCTATTCAATGGAACATTAATGTTGGAATTCACCAGACTTCATTTAAAACGCACACAAGAGAGATGGGTCGATAGTAGATGAGTAGAGTACATTCGTGCCAAAGAGGCTGCACTGATTGCTACTACGTCGAAAAGTTTCCAATCTAGTCTCTTTTGCAAATCAGAGCGTTCGATGCGTTCCTTGTTCCGAATCGAGACTTTCGCAGCCCGACGGTAAAAACTTACAGCACTCTGCCACGAAAGCTCCGCATGCTGGAGTCTGGACAAATTATACAACTCACCCTCTTGTACCATGTGACTTTCAGCATGTAAAGCGTGCAATTGACCCATCGACCACAGCAGTAGCACTAATTCCACTGCGATCCAATACGAAGGGCGCTGTTGCATCCAAACGTTCTGGTCAGAGAGCATGTTAATTTCATCAAACCCATAAAATAGCGGAAAGAAGATCGTTAACAGCTTCGGTGGAGTAGCATTGTCATTGTATTTCAATACGTGAAATCGTTGAATAGCAATCAAGAGTGGAAGATACTCGTCGAACAGATCGAGAATGTCCCAGTAGACCATCGAAGCTTCAAATTGTGGTGGTTGCGGTAATTCTTTAAGTTTGTGCCTTATCTAGTACGCACATTCGAGGCATTAGTTCATCTCTAATGTAAGTGTTCCATTCGTTTATACCTGCATTCGAAGATCTGCGAACCTCAAAGAATTGAAGTAAAGACTGCTGATTTGTTTCTGTAACCACAAATCAATACGATTGTGAAAATACCAAGTTAAAGTCTTCCACACGCACCTCCATTCTCGCCTCGCTTTGGTTCAGAATATTAAAAAAAGGAAATCGGAGCCACAATGGCCCGTGCATCAACTTTAACGATACCTCGGCACCATGCCACGCCATTTAGTGGTCGACTGACCTCTGAAATAACCAGGTAGGTCTGTTCTTGCTGAGGTATTTTTGCAACTCTTGCAAGCGAAGGTACCACTAGAAACCTTTCTATGTCCTTAAACCAGTACTAAACTTTCAGCTGAAAAAGACATATGCTTAGGGCGACTCTAAAAATTGTATCTGCAGTAATCATTTACGGTAAAATTGGTGTTATGTATCCTGATTAAAACTTTGATTTATTTATTAGGTTAAAAGTCACATTATTGAGATTATCTGAGTATCCTTTCTGGTCAGTACCGAGTGGGGACATCTACTTTGTGGTTGACAAATTGTTCTACTCCTGCGATTTGGTAGCTTCAAACAGAGATCAGTCTCGTATTTTTTCGTTGGTCGTAAATGTCTACCACCAGAAGTTGTGTAGGAGGAAGGACTGAATGTGACTCTGCCATTGCTGTAGTGCAGCTGGACCTCGTTCTTTTGCTTCAAGAAAGTCATTTAGGGCATCACGAAAGTCCGCGACACTAGCTTGTCCTAAGGATGTGAACTGTGTATTCTGAAAAGCTTGTTTCAAAATAAGCTCGAAAGTTTCGTCTGGCAATTTGTGGCCAATTTTTTCAAAAAGTTTTCGGAGATACTTTTCATTTCGTGGAGCAGCAAAATCAGCATTTATCACGCCTCGAGATGCAAATTCTTGAGGATACAACAATGCTTGAGCACTAACATCATCCCCATAATTCTGTCCATCCGCAATCGATCGACGCACTGGGGCTGAAATATCGCTGCGAATCGTTGGAATGCCGAACAATCGAGTATCGGCAGTAGCATTTTTCCAGCCATAATTCACGGCGCGGCCTAAATCGGAATCGGATTGCTGCTCTTTTAGTGAATATTCACCTTGAATGCACTGCCAGGCAGAGTCGCTTTTCTGTGTGTTAATTCCAAATGCGTGATTGTTAGACAATTTGTCAGTATTGGCGACTCCCAAGTGTCGAGGCTTTCCTAAGTGATCATACAACATCCGTCGGTCCTCGAGGTGCGCCGGCACAACTGCAGGGGATACATTACTTTTGTTCATATCAGAATTGAGAACAAAGGCCATTTCTTCTGCACAACTGTCAATGGACTTAACACCGAATCGATGATTGGCCGGGTCAATTTTCGCTTTCTCCCATTGATAGTTGCGATTCTTTTGCTCCCCAGGGGCAACCGATCCATGTGACCGCTTATAAAGCGCTTCTTCCTTCTGATTATTTAGAAGCGTAGCAGCTGTGGAAGGGTAAAGTAGCTCTTTAGCTGACTCACAGATTGTTCCACTCATACCAAAGGCAAAGTCGGGCTCTCGAAAATGTGCCGGCAGGTTGTGGCCTCGGGAGTAAGACTTACCCAGGGGCTCTCTCTTATGACTTGCGTAATTCGCTTCAAGCTTGGTAAGAACGATCCGCTGGTATTCTGTTGTGGATTCGTTTACGAGCGTTTCTGGAACGTGATCACTACCTGTGGTAATAATTCCGAACTTAGTCATGGGTTTAATTTGTTGAGAGTCTTTCACCAGTCCGCGGTGAATAACGCGAGTGCCTGGCTCTGAGAAGTACGACTTGCGAAACCGTCCAACATGTTCGGGAGTACGAGGATGCTGCGGGAAGGTCAAGCAGCGTGCTGTCGTCTCTGGTTGTAGCGGAGGCGCATAACCAGCTGACTAGATAAGCCGAGATGGAATGCAGGAATCAGTATATCGTTACATAATTATAATTTGCAACGCACCGGAGGCGGCGTATAGCGACTCATGCGATAAAAACTTCTGATCTTGACAATCTGTTTATTCGGAGACTTAAAAAAGCTTCGCGTCTCTTCGTCGCATTTATTTCACAGCAATTGTACAGTAGTTATGAAATAATCAAGAGCTATGATTTTGCGATCTTAAAGCGTCGTCATCCTTCTAAAAGGTATGACACGCCGCGGCGTTGATTCAACGGCGACCGAAGACCAGCGCTTACATCGTCCAGCAGCGCAATTGGGTGTCTCGAGACATTTGACGACACCCGTAGAAGTCAAGGAAACAACGGATGACGCCGTTTTTCCCGATCACGGCGTTTATGTTATCACAGAACGCTCAAATTTAGCAGCAGTCAATGATGAACGTTCGATCGAAGAGGAGATAGACATTGTAAGCTCGAATGAAGAGGAAGATGTGGGGGAAATTTCAATCACTCTGCCATCAGACTCGGCCAGCGAAGGATTGTCCAGCGACTTATCGTTGCCACATTCATTTGGCCACTATGACCAGCTACATACGGGCCGCGGCATGTCGCACTTCGACGACCACTTGACCACTCTATCACCACATCAATTTCCATCTCGAAGGGTCAATAGGCTGCAGCAAAACCAATTATGTGGGGTTGAAGCTAACGTTACGACATCCGAGGCCGTGATGAAGAGATTTTACGAGATCCAAGTCGGCAAAATTCGAGCACAACTGGCATTGAGCATGCAAACACAAAGGGATCTGGAAATGATGTTGAAGCAGGAGCGTGCGTTATGGCAAAAGAAGGAGATTGAGAATGAGGTTTGGAAGAACAAAGAAAAGCGGCTGTGTAAGTAAGAATTTTATAACGAAATTGGCTTGTCGATGTTTCAGCAAAAGTTTGTAAAGGAGCTGGATCACCTCGCAAAGGAGTTGAAACAAACTCAAGCTAATTTGGAGGCCGCACAAACGCAACTTCGGATGGAAAAGATGCACTTTGCTACCCTTCAAATCTCGGACGCTCTAGCAGAACAGGTATATATCCTCAAATATTTTTTCTGGAGTTGATTGTCGTATGTTATCATGGCAGTTATCTAGACAAGATGAAGAGGATCTGTCCGTTCGCGAGTATATCCAGCTTTCAATCCATTCAAAGGTGCGAAAGCTCGAGATTGAACTGGAACGTTGTCGACAAGAGCTGGAACTATTAAAAGGCACCAGTGATTCAGATAAATTTGCCGCCGCTTCTGCTCTAAGTAAGATGAATCACGTGCAGCGTAATGCAGAATTAAGTGAGAGACGATTACAAAGCGAGCTCGAATTGTTGGTAGCAACACGGAATGAGCTAGAGAATCAAATAAAAACTTTGCTTAATCAGATTGATGCGCTGAAAGAAAAAGAGCGGCAAAATGAGGAGATGTATAGCGACCAACGAGGCTTAGTTGAGGAATCACAGCGTTTGAAAAGTGACATGGAAGCTCTTCAGCATGAAAATAACGAGCTAAAGTTGCGTTTTGACAAAGTCTCAGCTGAAGATAGCGAGCTTCGCGAACTAGTATCAATGCTGACAGCCGACAAAACATTTTTGCTAAATGCCAAAACGCATTTAGAAGATCAAATGGCAAAAATGAAATTGTCACACGACGAGATGCGGGAGAAAATGAAGCTGCTACGCGAAAAGCATGACGGCCATCTTGATCATAGCGTACAGCTTCAGAATGAAACGCGGCTTCATTTTGAAACCAAATTAAACAGCGAAATGACTAAATTCATGGAACTGTCGAAGCGTGAAATTGAGCGAATTCGCAACGATGGCCAATTGGTTTATGAGCGTGAGAATCGACTTTTGAAAGAGACGCGTGACGATGCATTGAAGCATGTGGAGATGCTTCAAGCGCGTCTGGATAGCGTGCAGTCTGCGCTCGATGAGAAGGCAAGCATTTAATTCTGTATGTGTTAAGCGTTATAGCATTAGAAAACTTATCCTTTCATACTCAGGTCTTCGAATCGACTCGTTTGGAGAGTATGCATTCAACAGCACTGGCAACAGCTCGCAACGAGCTCAAGTTTCAGCATTTCGAGGTAATCAGCCTATCAGTAAACATTTTACTTGTTTGATTGTACATTTTCTCTGCTTTGGAAATAGATGAGCCAGCTTAAGCTAACACTGGAAGAAAAGGCGATGGCTGTTCGGAATGCAAGACTCGAAATTGAAATGCTGACACGAAAGGTCTGTGAATCATAATTTCTCCTTAATGATGTTATCTTTACGATCAATTGATGCAGATTGAGACTCATAAAGACGAGTTTACGAAGTTGGAGACGACATCGACTACGCGAATCACCCAGTTGGAAGCCAATTTGAATGTAGAAGTGAGCTTTTTCTATAAGTGCGTCCGTTGTTGCGTAGTTGAGGTCTAATTTGTTGAATATTACAGCGCAACAAGTTGAAGGAATATGAGTTGCTAGAAATCAACTTGGATGATGCTATTCTTCAAACGGGCGAGATTGCTGCTTCAAAAGACAGCAATGAGAAGACTGATGATGGAAGTTTTCTGAAGCTGAAAGAGGTAGTGAACACGTTTGGAGCGATTCCGACAATGAAGAAGAGACGGGTACGATTAATGTTCTGGATTTTCAGAAACACGAAAAGGCTTATTTAATCGTTTCTATTCTCAGTTTCAGCAGAGCGTATTGCTTGCCCAGCGACTTGTTAAGTCACAACGTGAAGCGATCGCACTGACTCAAAAGTTAAATGAGGTGATTAGCGATCGTTCAAGGCTACAGCAAGAAATCATTGAGCTCAAGGCTCAATTAGCGAGCTTTCACCAGCCGCAGTCGTATCTGGTTCGTATACCTTGAAGGCTTATGCCCTTGTCCGGTGCTGAATACGTGTGCATTTGTAGATTGAGAAGCTGACTCGACGAGAGCAGGAACTGCAAGGCGCTAAGCGGAAGCATCAAGAAGTTCAATCACAGCTTCAGCAGTTGAGAGTTCATTACGATCAAATCAGAGAAGCAAACTTGTCGTTACAGCACCAACTCCAGCAATTGCTATCACGTCGAGAAGATCTCGATGCGCTGAAAGCTACTGTCCAATTATTACGAAGCAAAATTGATGATAGTAACGAGCACAAGCAGCTTACGTACCAGTTAAAATTACCTTTACCCAGAAACTCAAGATCATGTGCTACGGCAACGGATCATTGTGATGCGGTTTCGTCTTCTCCCGTAACCTCGACAGTCTCGAAAGTCTTTCCTTCGCCATCAATATTCTCGAAGATGACCAAATCGCCAACTCAAGTCTATAAAAATGAGGGTGTAATATCTTTCCCGGTCGCGCCATCTTCGTCCAACATCTCGTGTGCCCCCAAATGGTACACAAAACTTCGATGTACGTCAGGTGACGGTCAAGACATCAACAAATCAATATAGCAGCTTGATGGAATCACTTAGAGTAGTATCACTTTTGATATGATTCCGATTTGTATTACCATGTTTTGGTATTATCATGTGAATTGGTACCAAACTTTTGTACAATCCATATCATCGTACCATATATAAAGACTTTTGAGCATTGTAGTACCATAGTTTGGTATGCGTAAGCAATATCAAACCATACTTTGTTACAAATGACAGTATTAGATCATTTTTTGATTTATTTGCGGCTAGTATTTACATGTTTTGGTAATTTTATGCAAAGTCGTACCATATTTTTATACAAACCATATCATCGTACCATGTTATAACAAAATTAAGCATTGAAGTACCATATTTTGGTTTGCGTCAGCAATATCAAACCATACTTTGTTACAAATGATTGTATTGGATCATTTTTGATTTATTTGCGGCTAGTATTTACATGTTTTGGTAATTTTATGCAAATTCGTACCATATTTTTATACAAACCATATCATCGTACCATGTTATAACAAAATTAGGCATTGAAGTACCATATTTTGGTATGCTTAAGCAATATCAAACCATACTTTGTTACAAATGATTGTATTGGATCATTTTTTGATTTATTTGCGGCTAGTATTTACATGTTTTGGTAATTTAATGCAAAGTCGTACCATATTTTTATACAAACCATATCATCGTACCATGTTATAACAAATTAAGCATTGAAGTACCATATTTTGGTTTACGTAAGCAATATCAAACCATACTTTGTTACAAATGATTGTATTGGATCATTTTTTGATTTATTTGCGTCTAATATTTACATGTTGTGGTATTTTTATGCAAATTCGTACCATACTTAAATACAAATTATATCATCATATCATATTTTAACAAAAGTGAGCATTGAAGTACTATGATTTGGTTTGCGTAAGTAATATCAAACCATATTTTGTTACAAATCCCAGTATAGTGTCATTTTTTGAAATATTTGCGTTGTGTACTGCCATGTTTTGGTAATTTACTAGTCTCAGTAGCTAGCCTCGTGGTATGGATTTTTGTAACTGGGTTCTTGATGTCATTTGTCGGCCTGCTCGATGCGACCTCAGTTTGAACTTGTTAACATTGCTTATTTGATGTGGGTGACATCAAAACGATGTTATTTCGCACATATATTATGTCGCAAGCAAATGCAAATATGTACTATATTTTTATAAAATCCATATCATCGAACCACATTTTTGAGCATTGTAGTACCATAATTTGATTTTCGTGAGCAATTTCAAACCATATTTTGTTACTAATCATAGCATAGTATCATTGTTTGAAATATTTGCGTTGTGTATTTTGCCATGTTTTGGTATTTTCATGCATTTTTTTTTATTTCGTACCATTTTTTATACAAACCATATCGTCGTACCATATTTTTTATATTTTTGAGCATTGTAGTACATACCTCAGTACATTTCTAAGCTACAAAGCATGTGCTCAAAACAAATGTATTCAAACAAGTTGAGCATCTAATGATTTGTATCATAAAAAGTACTGTTGTGACCCATCGTACCCACATAAGTAATATATATTTGGTGTATCAAATTTGTACGTCTGACAGAATCCACGTATAACAAATTCCTTCATGCCCGGACCCTTTGCAGTAGTAATGGATTACGCTACGTTTATCAATTCCCCAATATTGAGATCCTTGACAACACCATTGAATCACGTTTCAGGTAAGCTTTTAGGATAGCTACATATTTAGTATTCGAACCATTGGCAATACTGGCTCTGAGACCGGAGTGCAAATTTCGATATGCTTTTTGTGAGGTGAAAGCTTGAGAATGAGTATACAGACGTTGCTCGTTTGAAAACGAAACTGAGCCTTGTCGGAGATCGAATCCGGGGGCTCCAACGCAATTATTCAAGATAGTGGTCTGATCTCCGAATCAGCAATTCTTTCGTTGATGCCAATTTGAACTTTTTTTTGCAAGGATGCGATATACACCGCATACAAATCGCTCTATACACAATTAATTCGGTGCAAGTAGTTCGTGGCCAACATTCCAATCGTCCAACATAACCCCGTCTTCTGTCTCTCATTGTATGCAAATGCTATCTAAACTGAAGCTAGGCACTAAGAATAAGAATGGTGACAGGATGAGGCACCTTCGTGGGGTGGTGTTCGGAAGGCATCGATAGGATCTGCTCTCATCCTCGGCATTTCGGGCAATATTTCGGAAATTATTATTTTTGATAGTGCTGCTATACTAACCCACGATACTGTATACTATATTCTTGTCGCTTTTTGTCTTTCTCGACAGTTTAACAGCCGCAACCAAGCCTCAATTCACGACACCACCATCGCCATGACTACCAAGCGCACTGAAGTCCTCCTGGAAATAGTAACGACTACCAATGCGATTTTGACATGAAGATGTCTCTCGCGAAAAAGTGCTGTTGGGGCACGTCACGACCGCAAAGGATAAGAGCGAGAAAAATAGACGCGGTTCATGGTTGGCGCAAAGGATATGAGTTTCATCGCCCAGGACGTCGAATTTCAGCACCAAACCAAGATTTGGTCTACTACCCGTGCATTTGAGGTGTGGGGATGTTTCGTAATTTTTACAAGCGCACAAATATGTCACGATGACACGTCGCCTCCATAAATCTACAATGGAGAGTGGCACTTGCATGGCGAGATATCTGGGCGTGCTTGACAAGTTGGTCGTGGGACTTTAGACGACAGGAGAATTAGTGGATGAGTTAGTATAGCTGGTGATATATCGGAGCAGCCTGTCGAAGTAATATGAGCTGATTTCTTTCATCGTGAAAAACCCACCGTGATTAAGTTGATTGAAGTTTATGAGAAGCTGTTGAAGGAGTCAATAAAGCTACATAAGAAAGAAGCCATTAAGAAAGCGTTTCACGCTAATAGAAACAACGGACGCCTTAAGGACAGACGGAGAAACGGTCCGAAGAGCTACGGGTCGCGTAAGAACGGCGAATTTAAGGAAAACGTTTCAGCTATGACCAGATGGGCTACATGAAACGGGACTGCCTGTCTGGGAGTCGTTCCAGAAACCGTTTTGGCAGTAGCGATACAGTATTTGCTGTGAGTGAGGAGAAATCAACCGGTTGGCTAATTGACAGAGGCGCGACGTCGCGCATGAGCCCTCACCGGAGTAATTGGTCGATCACAACCTTCCGAAAGCTTGCATCGCAGTAAAGATTGGAGATGGCACTGAAGGAGCCGGACCGGTGAAGCTTATCAACTTAGACGGAAGACGCACATTTATGATGGAGGTGCTGCTTATCCCCGGACTTGCAGACGCTTACTTTCAGTGGGGAAGATTGCCGAACGTATTATGTGTGAAGTCTCAGTGTGCTTTGCCAATCATTTGTAACAAGAACGATGCTATGGACTAGAACGGTAAAGATCACGTGCCTAACTGTAACAAAAAGAGGCACGAGCGGTACAAAGTTTGGATGCTGATAGTCAGTATGAGCTATGGCACGCTTGCATGAGGCACTCAAGCGGTTCTTTAGGAAGACTTGCGCTCCACGAACGTTATACCTGAGCTGAAACGATGGATAACGACCTTGCGTGGGCTGCATGAAGGGCAAACAGACAATCAAACATCTTCAAGACGCCTTGTAATGAAGGTGTCACGCGTATTGGAGCTAGTGCACAAGGATGTGATGGGGGCCATGTCAAAGCTTTCGAAGGAAGAGGCCGCGAATGTGGTGATATGTGGTGCCACACTTTCTGGCGAGGAATAGTGAAAGATCAAGATGTTCAGAGCAAATACGAAACTCAATCGGGGGCCCGCATTAAGTGCCTGCGCTCGGACAACGTAACGGATTCGTAAACAAGACGGAACGGACTTTGGTTAGCGGAATGGCATCGTGCACCAATGCACGCTACCATACAAATGGCAGAGCGAATGAATCACATGATCGTGGAATTTGCACAAAGCATGCTACACTACAATTATGTGCCGACCTGCTGGTGGGTCAGCACTGCAATTTACCTATTCAGCGGTTACCAAATTACAGTGCATCCAAACACTACCCCACATGAGCTGGGGTTTGAGGTGAAGCCTCAAATGAATCACTTTTGGGTATTTGGGCCTCAAGAGTACGCACTCAATGATCATGTGAAGAGGGCGAAGCTCAAACTTAACAGCTTCAGGTGCATATGTCCTTAAACGTACCAAAGACACCAAAGAAAAATGTGTTTAGGATTTAGATAACAACAATGTGTCGGTAACACTGTCGGTAAAGTTAAACGAGCTTGAGGTAGGCGGCATTTGAGAGTCACACCCTCCAAAGGGAAAACAGTAGTACTCGTGACTAAAAACAACGATGAAGGCGCAGTCTACGGGCGGACAAAACGCAAGCAAGGTCAAGATGAGTTATACAATGCAAATGATACGTTCTAGATCTTGAGATGTTGAAAGAGGAGCCCGGCATTTATAAGCAAGATCGAGGTCTCCCAACTCTTGCTCTCTAGGCGCTTAGAACAGAGTCTCAGCACAAGATTTATATGAAGATTGATTGGCTTACCGAGATCCTGCTGAGATATTGCAGGAAATAAAATTGGTATTCCAACCTCAGAATGAGCACCCAAGGTGTGGGTGCGAGCTGACGTTGATATTAGAGAACGGATCATTTGTCGTGAAACGTTTGATAAGAAGCAACGCCCACCATTTTCAAAGCGTGCGGGTTAACGAATACGGCCATAAATTGATAAAAAATCAGACTAGCCTGCCACTGATGTGGCGGCTAATGGCAAATAGATAGGTCAAACAGTGGTGTGAAGCAATAGACGCTAAATTGCAATCTCACCTTCAAATAGGATATGCACACTTCTTCCACGGGAATCGATTGGGAGATTGACTACATGCCGTTGGGTCTTTGATAAGAAACGGGATCAGAATATCAGTGTGCTGTGGGGCCTTGTTTTCATGATCGTTTCTCTTGAAATCAAGGCAGCTCAAGGCTTGGCGTGCTAGCTGAACAAGTCCATATAT